TTGGCCTGGATAAGCTTTCTGAGGCTGAAGCAGCATCAGGCAGCTGAAGGACAATGTGGCAGGCCTGCTCTGCCCTCTTCTCTGCCCCCTCTGGGAAAGGAGTTCACTATCTCCACTCCACTGAATCCCAGGGCTCTCTGCCCAGGCTCCCTCAAGAATGCTAGGCTGTGCAAGGTGTGTGGTTGGCATTTGCAAGCAGACACCTCCATACCTGGGTGGAAACAGATGGAGAATCTTCTGGGTCACTGAGTCCACCAGGCAGGACACATTTAGATGGGTTACTGATTCAAACTGAAATCTGATGAACTTAGATGGTGGTATTTAGGGGAAAAGAATTTTTCAGTAACCATCTAGTAGGCTCAGTGACTATGAGAAAATGGGGTGGAAGAATCTAACCCAGCTTTGTGACAAGGCAACAAATAGAGGATATTAATGCCATTCCCAGTAAGTTTCCAAAGGTAGGCAAACAAGCATTCTTGATTTTATAAGAAAGACAAGGCACGTCTCTCTAAAGAAAATCACTGCTTCTTTGTTTTCTGGTTCCTTCTGAGTCCCTCAACTAGGTAGTTGGAAAACAGGAAACTGGCTTCATTTCCAGAACCTTCTCTGGACCTATGCCTGTGCTCCCTGAGGTCCCCCAGCCCCATCGTGAGGTTTATGTGCTCATTCAAGTCTAAACTAGGAATCCAAATTCAATCTGTCACACCTGATCTTGGTCTTTAAAAAATATATAAAGAACACAATTCTATCCTTCTGAGAATCTAAGTTATTATCTTTTGTCCTGTTCAAAACAGCCTGGCTTTTGTTTTTCAGATGCTCCCTAGATTCCTGAGGAAAGGGGAGTAGGGCAGAGAAGAGTGAACAAGGAGGTGCCCCTTGAGTCTCCCTGGCCAGCGCCTCCTTTAGGAGCTGCTTCCTGACCTGGTCAGCAGGCCCTTATTGACACAAGCCCCATGACAGCAGGATGGCTCTGGCAGAGCCAGGCCCTGGGTTTGCCTCAGGCCTCCTGCAGCATGAGCAACACCAGCCGCTTTCAATTACAGAATCTTTATTTCTGACCTTGACACAGAGGCCCAGGGCTCCCAGCTGTGTTCCAGGGGGCACAATATTTGGGGAAACAAAGAACATGACCAGAGCAGATGTGGCTCAAGTTGGAGTTCACTGTAAATGCCCCCTTCCCTTCTGCAACCACGCGATTCTGTGGGCCCACTGCATTAAAGCAGATCCCCAAAGCCATCCTGCTTCTCCCTCTGCGCTAGGTCCCTGTCCTGAGCTAGCCAACCCTCTAAGCTTTTCCAACAAAAGGAAACATGGATTAATGGGACCCACCTCCTCATCCCCTCCACCTTTCCCACTTCAATTGCACAAAAGGGTTGAACTGGCCCCTCTGAGTCCAACCCATCAGGAAGCGGGTGGCTGTGAGCTCCCTCGCCTTTAGGCCAAGTGTTTCCAGGGTCTTGAGCCCAACCAGGAGAGGCCAGGATGTCTGACAAGTGCAGGACAGACAAAGAAGATGCAAACAGCATCATATTACCATGGTAATGGCCTGAGCCAGGCGGCCTCCTGAAGATGTTGGGAGGGTGGGTTTTCTTTTTCCTTACTTTTTCTTTTCTTTTCTTTTTTTTGCAAAAGGAGAATAGTTCCGCTTTCTATTTTACTACAACAATAGCATGGACCGGCTCCTTCAAGTGTTTCAAAAAGCAGCCTGAGAAATCTCTAACCAAGCCCCTCAGTCTCTCCAGCCTGCCGTTTCATTGTCCCTCCCAACCCAGGGAACAAAGGGTGGGAAGGGTATAAGGGCCCCCCCCACCCCCATTGCTGGCAGTTCTCAGCGTCCTAATCCTTGAGAATCCGTGAGGGGAATGGCCTGTGGAGCTGCTAAATGGAATTTTGGCCTCACCTTTTATTCCCTCCCTCTGCTTATGCACTCAGGAGCTGCTCAGGTATTACAAAACCTCCTGGTTGGCAGGCCGGTAGGAATGGGGCTTGCTTAAGGGGATGAAAGGCGCTGAGGGATCATTCCCACATTCACTAAAAGCCTACTCCCCTTCAAAAAGGCTAGCCTGTATGGATTGTTCATTCCCACCTCTCTAGGCTGGCTCCATTGCAAAGGCTGAGCATTTAGCCATAAGAGGCTGGGCAGTAGTTTCTCTTTTAGTTGGTACCATCGGAGCTGCCCTCACCCTTCTAGCCCTTCCCCTTTCTGTCTACACTCCTCAGACATGGACTGCACACCTGCACACCATTCCCCACCCCATCCCGGCTCTAGGTACCAACCTCCATGCCAGCTTGGAGCTATCATGACAGGGCAACCCCTCACACAAGGAAAGTTTCTGGGCCTTGATTGCTGGTATCTTTCCAAGGTTACCACCCAGGGATCAAAAGTTTCTTTGCTTTAAACCTCGGGAATTGTGCAGGTGTGTTTTTTTTTTTTTTTAGCTCAGTCACCTAGTTAAGAGTGGGAAAAAAAATAACCTTTTATGTTCCAAGTGAATGATTAGTACACTATCTCCTGGGAGAATCAGATAAAGCTGAAGGGGGAAGGCCTTTAGAGATCACCAGGCTAATGACTTTAACCCAAGTCATAGAAACATTTTGCACTCCAACCTGCATGCTCATAATGCGTGTATGTGCACACACACACTCACCCACCATAAATATTTCATGAAAAAGAGAATACATATGACATAATCTGGTATTTTCTATTCTCCTCTATTTCATTTTTTTAAAAATGCTGGTTACGACTCATTAATTCTATTTCATGACCCATTGATGGGCTGCATGCCAGGCAGTTTGCAAAGCACCAAATCAAGGTCAACATTGTCATTTTCAAGCTGACAAAACTAGGGTGTCAGAGATTTTTTAAGATCACACCAGAGCTGGAACGGAAATCCAAGGGGTTTCTCCAATAAAGGAGGCATCCCCATTTTTCAGAGGCTCACAGTTCCTTTTTGTTTTCCCAAAGTCTTGGGAGCACAGAGTCAGAGGGGAGGGAGTGCTCAGAGGTTTGCGTTCAGGGGTGCTGCTGATAGGGCCTGAAGGGGTCTGCTGCCCTCAGGAAAGGGGGGAGAGTCTGGGGGAGTGGGATGGAGAAAACAGCTTTGAAGGCTGCCAGGTGGGGCACTGCCATCTCCCTGACATTTTTATTTACTGGTTGGGGTTCTTGCTTCTTGAATTTTCTTGAATTTTTCTCCTTCCTGGATATACAGCTTCAGGTCATCTTCCTTAAGTAATCCACTTTCTCCCCTGCTTTCCAATTTTTAAAATAGTCTTCCTTTGAATTTTTTAAACTTCAACCAATCATTATATTTCCAGTTTCTACTTTCTCTGAACAACTTCCTCTTTCCTGTCAAAATCATGAACTTAGCAATGAGTATCAGAGAGGCAACTCTGAATCTTGTTCCCACAAATATTACCCCAAAAGTTATCGAAATTAGACCAGGCTTAGAAATGCTATTTACCAAAATACCAGGTGACCAAGATGTCAAGGCTCTCAATAGAAGCCATCTGGGTAAAACTTGCTCTTTCCCCCCCTGAACTTACGTTGGGAGTCTTCCAGAGAATTTCTTGAAATCTTTATCTCAATTTGCTATTTACTAGATTTCTAATCTTTTAAGAATGTCTCTAAAAATGAAGAGCCAAAAGCCACACTGTGCACTGGGTAAATAAAAGTCTGCTTTCTGATTGCTTATTAGTTATACACCCTTACAGAGTATGTAACAAAGGGCCATGCTATTTGCTTTGCTTAATCTGGTCTTAAAATCTCTGCTTCTTTGTCAGAAAACAATATTTGCAATTGTAAAAAAAATATTTACCAAGGAACTTGGATAGCATAAGTCAAAGGCTAAGAGCCAAAGGTCAGTAGTTCTTACCCCACATTTCCCTGGGCCTGAGTCCCTGCTGTGGAGCTCAGCTGCACCAAACAAACACGCTCCTTTCTGGGTTCACTGAGAGGTGGACGTTTTAGAAGGGGCAGGAAAGAGAAAGCTGCAGCCTGTTCCTTGGTCAGAGGCATGAACTCACAAAATTCCTGCTAGATCTTTGCAATGAAATGTGTCTCCATGGGGATAGTGTAAGGACTTGGCCTGTTTTACAAACCTGGGAAAGAAACTCAACTTACAAAATCCTAAAGGGCAGATGTTCTCCCATGGACAGCAGAGACAATATGCTCTTCTGCGGTTCACGCCAGATGCTTACCTATGCATTTCTGTGGGTGGGGCTTCCTGCCTGAGAGTGGGGAACAAATTGTGTATCCCGAACACTTCTGTGGGGATCCTTCTTAATCTACAGGGCAGTTTGGGACATATGACCTTTGGGCTAAGTTCAACAGTGTGTTTGAATTTACCCCCTCATGTTCATTGTTTTCTGGATAGACCTGCAATCGGATGCCTTTCCTAACCAGAGGATCCAGCATCTGGGAATAAACCACCGTTGTAAATCAGCGAGCTCTAGGCGTGGTCTTGGGGTACCCTACCATAATCCAGAACTCAGCTCCTTCCAAAGCCCTGGCCCACATCACAAGGTGCAGGTCAGCAAGGCTTGGTCCCCAGTTGGAGTAACCTGAAGGGAACTGAGGAAGCAGTGCTCACGGAGCCATGACAAGGTGCCCCCCAGGCTGCCAGCCCAGATGGATCTTCAGCTTGCTAAGCAAGAGGGCTCTGAGGAAGGGCTGGGTCCCCCACACTGGTGTCAGAGATGTACTAGGGTCTGCAAAGAGCACTGGGGTGGGGACACTTCTTTGCTCGGTATGGCCCTCATTTCTTTGGTTGCCTCATTCTGTTAGAAAATTCCTTAGTTCTTCCTCACCCCTGCCACCTTCTGTCAAATTCTTGCTGGAATTGCCAATCTCTTTTATCTCATTAGGACAGATACCATTGGCCAGTTCACCTTGGCCTTTGATCCTGCCCTGAAGTAGCTTCCCTCAGGTGCAGCAATCAGCCAGCAGTGGGAGCAGCACTGGGCATAACCAGTTAAAAAAATAGCTTAATCCAGGATCTTACCTTGAAGAACCAAGCCTTCCTTCTTGATGGTGTAGACAAAGGAGGTGAAGGGAGCCAGAGGGGACTTGGCAATGAGAATCTGCACACAAAGCATATTTTCCCAGGGTTAGCTAAAGGAAATATCAGAGATGACCCTCTATCACCCCCATTTTGAAACAAAGTGGTAACCTATGACCATAAACCATGAGCTTTATTTTTCAAAAATTATTTTAGAACCAAAAGGGTGTTATCCCTTCAATTAGGTGATCACTTTGGAAAGCTGTACATTTATTCAAACTATTTTGCCACTGAATGCCTTATTCCTGAACCAGTTCTTCTAGAGATAAGTTTCATTATATTATGTCATATGCTTAAACAGCTACCTTTCTACCCAAAGATAAACCTGATTCTCTAATTTTATTCATAGACCTAGCTATTTTATTAAGACAGTTCAAAGCTACCCTAAAAGATAGTTACCATCTTTGCATATATTCAAAATGACTTGCCACAGGCGAAGCCATAGCAGGTGCCTCCTTGGCCCCAAGTCTTCACCAAGTCTGTATTCATACCCTTTGCCATGTGACTACATTTCCTCTTACTGAAGGTGTTGAGTATTCCCTGTGGCCCTTGGCTGTGGGTGTGGACACATGACTTGCTTTGGCTAATAGGCTGTACCAGTTCCTAGCAGAGGCCTCAAGGAGCCTTACATATCTCCACTTGTTCTCATCTGCTTCTGCTCTTGCCAGAGAAAAATCCGCTAATTTGCTATCTCAGAAAGAGGATGAAGGATGCCTGGAGCAAGGCTGGCCAGCCAGGCCTGGCCTAAATAGCTGACTCCCAGGAGATGCACATATGTATTAGTTAGATGCTTATTACTGTATGCCTCTGAGATTTTGTTGCTGTTATCCTGAAGCATTATTGCAGCAAGAGTTGACTGATATACCAGCCAACACAAAATGTCAAAAATTTCTTGAGCAATGGCATTCTCCTAAGAAGATACCTACTTTTAAAGGGAGGGTCATTTGGTCATCCAATAAATCAGTATAATTAGCACTCATTATCATACTTCCCATAGTTCTATAGAACCTCTAAGGACTGGTGAATTATTGTAACATTTCTCCTGAAGGAAGATGAAGGAAGTTTCCTTTTTTACAAGCTAACATCATCAAATACTGTCACAAATAGTGACAGTTTGGCACAGTGCCACTTAGGTAATCAGGGAGGCGAGGGAGAAGAAGTAATTTCAAGTAGCCAAAAGGCTTACATGTAATGCCTCCATCTATCTCAAGTCAACAAACATTTACTGAGTGTCAGCTATGCGGTAATGTGGTGAAAAGATCACAGGTTGTAGTCATGGAGCTTGACATTGGGCTCTTCCACTAATCAGCTCTGTGGCAAGGTCTGTAATTTTCCCCTAGTAACCAACTCCCCTCTTACTTGTAGTTAATAACTACCCAGGTTTCAACATTTCTCTGCCTCTTTTGCAACTAGGTGTGGCCATGTGACCAAGGTGTGACCAGAGAATGTGTGTACAAGTGACAGGCAGAACTTCAGGATTATCTTTTCATATGAAATTGCGTGCTCTTCACTTTCCCTCTTCCCAAGGGCAGGAACCAGATTCAGCCACACCCTGGGGGATGAGGAAGAAACACGGGAGAAGGAATCTGGGTTACCTCAGAAAGCAATGGTGCCTCCCACCTGAGGTCCGCTGTCCACCTCAGCACAGGGCCTCTTGTCTGAACCACTGTATCTAGGAGGCCTTTGTTACTATGGCCTAGCCTGAATTATGACCAATACTGTGGTTCTGGACAACCTAACCTTTCTGAGTCTCAGTTTCCTCACATGTAAAAAGGGGATAACAACCTAAATGGGACTATTGTGATGATTAAGTATATAAACTGTCTGCCACTGTGTCAAAGTAACAAGAACATTTCCAACCAACTCATCACATATGCTTCCCAAGTAACCCTTAACTTCCATTCATCGAAAACCAATATAGTTTAGTTTTACTATAAGAATTCAACTAAAGTTGAATCTCAGTAATTTTTACTAGTATTCTAAAGTTATATAGATAAACTTGCTCATCATTCTCAGAACCAGTAAATAAATGGTATAGGTAAGCATTTACATCTTCATGTCAAAAACATCTCACCTGAAAGTTAAGGTGGATCTTTCTGACAGACTTCAAGGATGGTTCAGTGTGAAGTTAACTGATGCCCCTTGGCAGGGAAACAGCATGGTGGAAGAGAGGACAGTGCTTCTCAAACTTTAACGTGGGTATGAATGACCTGCAGGTCCTGCTGACATGCAGACTCTGATTCAGTAGGTTTCCAGTAGGGCCTGAGAGGCTGCATTTCTAACAAGTTCCTAGGAAATGCTGATGCTATGGTCCATAGACCACATTTTGAGTGGTTGGTTTCAAAAAATTAGCCTGAAGAGTCTCAGATGGAGAAGGAAATTCAGGGATGAGATAATAAGGGCCTAAACCACAGCTGTGTCAGAAAGAATGGGAGACTGGGAGAAAAAAGGAAATGGGCAAGAGAAATGTAAACCCTTTAGTTCAAAGAGTGATAGAAATAAGCTCAGGATCTCTATTGTCTGCAAGAAGCAACTGGACATGAAACCACAAGGGTATAGAAAAATACTAATCAACAAATTATTATACTATATTTTTGAAACTTGTATTACTATTTTTAGTTTATAGACTGCAGAATTTGAGATCCAGGAAAAAAAGGATGTGATATTCTACTGCAAACAAAAAATGCATCTAAGTCTAAGTCTTCCAGTTCATGGTGCTACTTCTATCATCCGACCATTTCCTCTCCCAGGGAGCATATGCTCCCCACTCTGTAAACAAGCCTGGAGCCCCAGCCAGGAGGACCTCACCTGGAGGGACCTCATACCTGAAGGGATCTCACACCTGGAAGGGACTCCTTCCCATGGAATCAAGGGGTTTGGACAGGCCATTGATGAATGCTCTGGCCTTCTTTGAGCAGGGTTTAAGATGGGTTTTCAAAAGGATGAAAGTTGTATGCAGTTAGAAAAAGGAAGTGATCAGTTATGCCAAGATGAATTCTCCTTCCTTTTTTTTGAAAAGAACTTCCAGACTGATAGATCAGAGGCCTACCACCAACATGAAACATCTGATTTTAAAGAAAAAAATGTAACAAACTCTGTGGATACAGTGAAGACAAGTTGGGCTGGATACTAATACCATTAAGTGGGCTTGTAAATGACCAGAAGATCGACAGCAATCTGGTGGGAGGTAGGGAACTCTAGGTGAGTGTACTGGATTCTAGCCTTGGTCCTGTCACACTGGACATCCTTTCTGACCTGGATAAGGACACTGATGTTCAGTCACATACACACAACACATCGGGGATCCAGCAGGGAATAGAACTGACAAAAACTGCTACCCTAATGGAGTTTCTATTCTAAAGGAGGCTTATCTAAAAAGAGAATAAACAAGATGAGTAAGTAAAATATATAGTATGTTAGATGATTACATGTGCTATGGAGGAAAAAAAAGCTGAGAAATATTATAGGAAGTGTAATACACTTGAGAGGAGGGGGTCAGTTTTAAATAAAGTGCAAGAGAAGACCTCACTGAAAAGGTGACATTTGGACTTGTGGTTCATGTAATGAATCTCACTGATGGGTGCTGAATACGGTAAAAAGAAGATAAAAAATTTAGAGAAGGATTTAATAGATTAGATAGTCATAATATCAAAACAAATCTCAATCTGGTTATTGAGAAAATCCTACAAATCTTTTAGGATGCAATTTTACTGAAATATATGTAAAGCCTTGTGCTTGAGAATAGTGGACCAATTACTGGTTACAGAATGGGGGAAATGAGATTTAGCATTCAGAAAATGGACTGGGAGTGTTAATTACAATTTAGTACAAGTTGGTTTTGAGACGTGGTTCACAAAAATCTAGTGTGGTCTCTGGTTGTATCAATGGAGACACAATATCTGGATCAAGGCAAATGATGGTCCTGGCCTTCTTCTCATTCAGCAGACCTTGCTGGGTGCAATGTACTTGGACTGGAGCCCGAATTCCAAAAGGGAAACTGACAAACAGGAGGACAACTAGAGGAGAACCATCAAGGTGGTTAGACACCCAAAGCAACTCCTGACCACAAACACTTCAATGCAAACATGACGGTAAGAGTCCTGGGGTGAAGGTGCATATTGCTTTTGATAATCTCATCTTGAGATTCTTCAGTGTTACATAGTAGAGAGAGGAAGTGTAAATTAGTTTTCTAGCTCAACAGATTTCAGAAAAAAGGATGTTTGCCAGGTATCTTTGTGAATACATATAGACTCTCTTCCCTTTTTGAGACTTGAATGAATACCCCATTCCCCTGTGCCATTCTGACATTCAAGCTATAAATTATCCTCTTCTAAAGGAAACAAATCTCCTCAGCAGATACTTTAGGCTGTTCTGTTTCAGATGTTCAGTCATTCCATAAATTTGGGGTGTTCTAATCATTGTCTGACTTTGTGCTGTTGTCAAGTGTCCTTCTATCTTCTTCAATACATAATGCCCTACAGGGATGGCCTGACTGCATAACACAACTCTGGGCCCTAGTGAAAAATTTTTATGGCTTTCAACCTTGCATGCAATGTGTGTGAAGTTCTTTGGAGCCCTGAGGCTCATGAAAATATGTAGTCAGGCAAGAATGAGCACAGACACATGTGGCTCAGAAGGCCTACTGCCCCAGAAGGTAGGTGTGTGGTATTGTGAACTGTTAATCCCACCTCCTGCAAAGAGAGGTTGTTTTATTCTTGAATGGTACCTTTACATCAGACTAGCTCAACTTTAACTACACTCTAATGAATATACTTTCTCCTCTCTTCACCTGTTCTTGCTAGGAAAGTGGTCACCAATGTTTTTAAATTCTTTTGTGGGAATTTAAGGTATACCTATTATGTAGTAGGTCCTAGTTCCCAAAACCTATTACCACCTCGAATAATTTCCATTATTTGTATCATCCGCCCACCTATCCACTTATTCAATCCACAGATATTTTCTGAGCACTTTCTTTTGTGTTAGGCACTGTGCTAGGTGCAGGGGATATAGCAGGGGCAAGAA